TAAATATTCTAAACTGGCAAAAAAATTTCAGGGTGCACTCCTTTCATCAGAAAGACCATCAATCTTTTTTGTATAGTGAACTTGTATAGTGTGTTTAAATGGGACACATTTCAAATTAGGTAATACGTTAGTGTCCGCTTGCCAATAATAGATTTAATATTCTGTTTTATACTATAAAGTTATGAAATGCCAAACTTGTTTATTTAATTGTTTTCTTATGTTTTGGGTGTAATAGTCCTTTTTTGGTTTTTGTTTTTGTTTTTTAAGGCAGGTCTGCCATTTTTGAATACTGTAAAACTGTGATAAACTTTATATTGAAGCTGTATTTTAATATGACCGCTTTGAATCCTTACATGAAAATGTTCTGGGAGTTGTTATAAACACATCCCAAAGAAGCAATATTTAATAAAACTAGGATTAAAAAAGAAAAAAAAAAAAGTGACACTCACTTGTGTGTGTATAAGCTCTACAGACTTCTCAGGGCCTCCCTTCATCCTTAACCTGGTGGGGCCAGTAATCAATTTCTAATTATATATGTCTGAAATTTGACCAAAAACATCTGCTTCTTTGTTTCAAGGATAATTTATTTTCTTCAAACATTCCTGACTTGACCGGTGGTTAACATTTAGCACCTCGGCGGTCTCTCAGTGTAGGATCTGGGTACAAGAGAACAAACCTAATCTTTCAGAAAAGATAGTAAGAGGTTCACATTGACCACGGATGCCAAATAATGCAATCGTTCTCTTCTGCCGAAGACATGGGCCGTTTTCTGTTAGGTAAATTTAGTTTATAGGACACTTCTGCATACGGCATTAATTAGGAAACAGAGTACCTTAATGCCCTACAGTTGCACGAAGTTTCTGTGACATTTCTCGATCTTGATTAACTTCTCCTTGCCTTCCCCACCAGAATGGGGGTGTTCTAAGCATCCTCAATTTAAGTCATTGTCAACAAAACAGTAGAATGTTTTGCTTGGAAGAAACCTGGTTCATTCCCGTCATTCTGAAGAATCCAAGATCCAGGGCCTGTCCGGGGTCAGATGGAGTTTTTGGTACTGACACATCTCAGCAGGGTTTCTTTTTGAAGCTCTGTGCTGCCTCTCACAGTCAGTCAGGGACTTTTTAAGCTTCAAAGAACGTGATCTGAAGCAAAGCTCTTCTGGTGACTTGATGTTATTTGGAAAACGTTTTTAAATGATAATACCATATTGGGTTATCTGGTCTCTGTAATACTGGTTCTCCGTTAAATTTTCGATGCTTTGTCTAATTCCACTTGATTGATGATTGAATTGAGCTTCCATACCTTGTCAACTACCAAATTCTAGTTTCAAGCATCTCACTGCAACGATATCATATCTGCTCTTAACTTTGCTTGATTCTCTACTCATTGCCAGAGTCGAGGCCTTCTTTGCCCTTCTTCTATGTCTTATTTCTGCCTTCATCTCCTGCTCCTCACCCAACTCTGCTACTATTCGGGAGCAGGTGACTCAACTTTTATACTTCTTTAACTTAACTTTTTAGCTTTCTGTTTTTTCAGTTCTCCTTGTAACGGTAATCAAGCATCTGTTTGGCAATCTAAGATGTCTTTGTCAAAGGTCAGCCCTTTTCTATTTGGAGCTGAATCCTTTCTTCCATGTAGAAATCTACATGTATATACAAGAAATGTATTTTTCTCTGCAGGATAATATTGTTTCAAATAACTTTATTAATAGTAAGTTAACCTTCACCTATTTTCCCTTTTAAGTGTGCTTTTTGGAATGTTAACTGCATTTTTACACATGATGCATTCGATGAACACTCTTTTCTCCTAGTAATCTCTGTTCTCTGAATGCATTGTGCAAATCAAAAGTAAGATAGGATTCCGTGAACAGAATTTGCTTTGGATGTTTATTAAGAGTAAATCCATGAATTTGAATTTTGATATCATGCTTGGTACTTGGAATTGGTATGTACCTTATTAAAGCTTGAAAACATTTAGCATTTGAATTGTAAGTTTCATCACAAACCATGCCTTTTGCCTCTTTTGTTATCCACGTTCAATCAAAGGGACTGAATGGCCATAGTGATTTTCCCTCATAGGTGGTTTGAGACTTAACTTTAAGGTGTTTTCAATGTGACATTAGTATTTACAGTAATAAATAAAATTTATACACGTTTCAGAGAACTACCAACTCTCTCTAGTTAATTTTGGTGAAGTCTGGTTGAGTATTAGTTTCACTCTGAAAGAAAAAAATTGGTCCTGATTTGCCATCTTCTTTTTTCCATCTACTGAAATGGTGTTTTCAGAATGTACTTTCAGAATAGAAGGAAAGCGAAAACTTCAGCAGAGCATATCAAGTTGTTAATAACAGGCATGAACTCCAAGTGAGCTGAGTGCAAACAAAAATACACATGGGCCTGAATTTAAATACCACTAATAATGTAACCGTGTTGCAGTTAACAAAGTAACCTGTTCAGTCACAGGATACTAAATCGTTCTTTGGGTTTTTGGATCACCTCAAGAAGCATAACTGCAGCTCTGAATTCAGGTCCAATTTCAACATAAAAAGTTGCTCCATTCTTGCATGACTCCCCTCCTCCCCAAAGAGATACTTTTACCCCCAGAGAAATACATTTTACCTTAATATGTATTTATCATCAAGTGTTCTTGATATAGAATCAAGATACAGAACGTTTTCGAGCTTACATTCAAGCGACAGAAAGGAAAACTGTTAACGCCGATTTCCTAGTTTCTTGTCAAATTTTCATTTGTTTGGATGGGACCGGACAATGCGTCTAATAGTACGATTTGAATTTACTTTATAACGGATTTAGCATTGAGGGTATTAAGACGGCGTTGGCAGACGCCATCAGCACTGTGCCGCACAACCCCAGGAACACAACACCATCCTCTGCTCACAATGAAAAGTGCTCCACTTCCAAGTGGCTGGCGATTTGTTAAAATACCTTGCCCAGGAATATAGCTGACTGTTTTAGGTCAATATACAATAATAGCTAATATTTACGGGGAGCTTACATGTACTAGGCAGTGTGCTAAGCATTTCGGCGGGTACTGAATGCTCACAACCTAGTGAGGTAGGTATTGATATCATCCTTTTACAGATGAGTAAATAGAGGCCCAGAGAAATGAAGTAATTTGCTTCAGATGAATTAAAATTGCTTCAGATCAAACAGCTAAGAAGGGGCAGTTTGAATCCAGAGCTAGTACTTCCAAACACTGCTTTTTTTTTTTTTTTTTTTTTTTGTTTGTTCTGAACAGTCA